TAGCTGTAGCAGCAGTAGTTGAAGTAGCACTAGCAGTGACAGCTCGGGCTGGGCGGCGCGGCTCGGACACAGTGGCAGAGCAGCAGCGGCACGTAGCAGTAGCAGCCGGCGCACAGCAGCAGTAGGCGCGTGCGGGCTGTGAGCTAGCAAACCAGGGGCGCGCAACAGGTGCGCACGGAGCAGCTCAAAAGGGGCGCGCAGCAGGTGCGTGCTAGGGGCTGGCGGGCAGCGTGAGTGGCGCGCGCATCAGCAGGAACGAGGGGGGACCGGGCGTAGGGGCTGACGGGCCGCGCGAGTGGCGCACGGGGCAGCTAGGGCGCGGTCAGGGGGGGTCGCACGTGACTAGGCACAAGAATCGCGCCTAGGGCAGAAAAAAAGAACCGTCTCGCCTAGGGCGCGTTTTCGCATTTCGCGTTTCTCCTAGGGGCGCGACTCGGTCCTAAGGAGCATTTTGCTCTTAATACCATGTTAGAATCAGTAGCTAGGTGAGAATGTCGATTAGGTAAGGGAGAGGGATACAAGACTATCGAGAGTGAAATGTTGTACCCTCTAAGGAAAGAACCCAACACAACCTAGAGTGAAATGAACAGAACAATATGTTTTGACAACTTACAGCATATGCTGCCATGTGTCGGAATTCCGGACCGCGCATCAAAGTCGCAAAACGTTTTTTCGACCGGACCGCGCATCGGAATTCCGGACCGCGCATCAAAGTCGCAAAACGTCCTAAGACCCCCCATCTTGTAGCCATTACCAGTACCATATCGAGTGAAACTGTAGAAGAAACTCTAGCTCACAGCAGCCGATATTTGGCCAATTCTCATAAAATTTCCTCCATCCGGATATCTGGATCTGACCAAGCCAGTCTCTTCCCATCAGCATCCCCATGAAACTAGGACCCGCACATCTCAAGCCGAAGCTGCTGGCTCTCCGCCGTCAACATTAAATCGGCCCTCGCTTCGCGCGCTGACTGCATCTTTCCTTTCCTTTCCTCGCGTTGGTCTGTCCTGCTTCTTGCTCTTCCCCCCTTTCCCTTCTGTTTCATCGCATGCCGCGCTGACCTTTTCAACACTGCCTGTATCCGTCCGTTTACCTTCTGCTACACCGCTGCTCGCCCCCGCTTCTCCTTTTCGCCACACGCTCTTCGGCCTCCCGTGAATGGTTTCGGGACTTATCCGCCCAGGTGATTTCCCCGTGCCAATCGCTCTTGTTCTACGCTACTTCCGCTGCCTCGTCCATCTCGCGATGCTGATCTCAGCAGCTTCCCCGCCATCGACACCGCATCGAGCCACGTTTGCCACGCTGCTCCTCCAACTCCCCGTTCGCGCCACACCCTGATCGACCCCTTTTTCCTTCTTTTGTTCCAACGTTCCCCTAATTATTTTTATCATCTCTTTAGCCCTCGAGGGGCGATCAGGGCGTGGCGCGAGGGACGGCCTGATCGCACCCCTCGGTTTTTCCCTTACCGCACGCTCAACGTCCCCTTTTCCTTTTTATCGTCTCTTTAGCCCTTGCCACTGCTAGTCTACCCCCACCCACGTTAAGCTTGCAGATTTTGCTCGCGCCTGCCTACGCTCGCTCACCCATCTTGCGACGCCAATTCCGTGCGCTATTTCGGTGCGGCAAGACAAGTTCCCCCGTCAATGGCTACAACCGCTGGCTCCCATCGTGGCGCCGACGGATAACCCCCCACCTTCGCCAGAAACTCGTCATGTTAGTTGCTCGTTCCCCTCCCCTCTAATCCCTCTCTGCCCTGGACTTGTGCTTCTGTCCTTCCGTCGTTTTCACTCTCACGCGTCTTCCTTACGTTTGCGTTTCATCCGCTAGTTTCGACATGCTTGTCACCTTGTTTGGCCTTGGAACTCGGGCTGGCACCTCGCCTCACACTGATCCGGGGTTGTCCTGGACCATGCCCCTACACCCTCTGCCTCCTACCATCTCCCTTGTTCCTCTCGGTCTGCGGTTCCTTGCTGCACCTGTTTTTAGCGCTTTCATCCCGTCGCCCCACTTGTCCCCCTTGCTCTGCAGTCCTGGCTCCCAGCCTTCCAAATGACGTTTTCTCCTGCTTATTTATGCTCCCCCCCCTTCCCCTTGCCCCCCGTGCCCGACCTGCCTCTCTTCCCATCACGCCAGCGTTTGGCGCTAAGGTTGAGATCCAGTGAGACACCTTTTGACGTGCCATGCTCAGTCCGACGAGCCGCATGCATAGAAAGTGTCATGCGCCGCCGGCCCCGTCGCTGCCCTGGTCCCCCCCCCCCCCCCTCCCCTTCTGTCCCTTTATACCTTGCCTCTCAGTACCCCTTCTGGCCCAGTCCTCACCCCATGGTGTCGGTTCCAACAACACACCTTCACCTTGCTGCATGGTTGCCGTAACTCCCCCAGCTGCACTGCACCACACCTGCTGGATACCCAAACTCCGGTAGGAGCACTTGTAAGCCCCTCCTTCAACCCCCATCCCCCTTCCACCTTCGGCCTGGGTACTACCTTGTCCCCCTTGCCTTGTCTCTTACGTACATGCTCATGCCTCCCTCCCGCCCGGTTTTTGCCTCCTCACCTCCCCCGTCTTTGAGCTTCCTTCCCTCCCTTCCTCACATTTTTTACCAACCCCCAAATTCCTGCCTCCGAGCCCCACTGCTCCCGCACGCAAGCTGTGGCACACCTCCCAGCCGCCAAAGAGAAAACCAGTTCCTGGAGGGCGCTCACTTTATTGTGCACCCCTCAGGTCACTGCCTTCCTCCGGCAATTGATGCTTCCGCCTTGTTCTTGCTATCCCTGTGCTACCGTATTACCCCGGATAGTAGCGCATATGCGCTTATAATAAAATCGATTTTTATAAGGGGGGCGCTTGTAAACGAGTAACGGGGATAAGCGCATGCGCCTGTAAGAGGGAAAATATTATTGTTGGTTTTAAAGGTACCGAATTGAAGCTCTCGGTAAGGCGAACAAAACCAATCGTTCGTTCACGTGGTTTCGTGCATGGGTTTCAGGGGAAATCAACCGCGATTCGGCTTCCCACCGCACATTCACGTCCAGAAGCAACGCACCTGCCGTTGCTGACTCGAATCCTGCCGTGCGGCCCAATGGCATTGTCATGCACCACAGGGCAGCCGATTCCACCCGAATCCTCTAGAAAAGGGTGGAATCTTTCCTGCCAGCGCTGACGCGAATCCTGCCGTGCGGCCCAATCACAACGACATGCGCTGACAGGCAGGCAAATTCCACCAGAATCCTCTAGAAGGTGGTGGAATTTGCCATGCCATCGCAGCGTCGTGCACGCCACGCATGGTCCTCTACGGGTGTAGGCGGGGGTTTCAAGCTGGTCATCGACGAGGACCCCGAGGCGCCAAGGCGAAGGGGTCCCTGCAAAGTTCATTTCATTCCTCATTCTTGCTCATACGGATTCAGTTTTCCAGCCTCTCCCGCCAGGCTGCTCCAGCCATGGCGGAATTCACTGGCACGCATTTTCTCTTCAAGAAGAAACCCACGAGGCGTGCGTTTACCGTTACCACTGACGGATGGTACTGCCGTGCCCCACCAGAGCCCCCCGAGCCACCAGCGCCTCCTGCGCCTCCTGTCCCCCCTGCTCCTCCTGTTCCTTCGTCGCATCCCGCGCCTCCTGCTCCTCCAAATCCTCCTCCTCTAGAAACCTTGGGCAACCGGCCCGTGCTCTAGCTTTGCCAATATCTCCCTGCGACATTCAACGAGTGGCTGGAAGAACCTGTCAGGGACAAGCCTCATGAAGAATCCGCATCGGCACCACGCTGAGGCGAGCCCGAAAACTGCGTGTGGGATGAATCCAATGTGGGCGCTAACGACGACGTGGATGCCGAGGGCGCGGAGGGCGACAAGGCCGCCGGGGATGACACCGAGACCGGCACAGAGGCAGGCACCGAGGCAAGCACCGAGGCCGATGTGTTCCCTGAGGGTGCCGTGGGCAGCGATGACGACGATGGGGTCGAATACTGGTCGCGCGATGGCCTTCCATAAAAGTTGCCGATACCTTCTTACCCACCGATTAACCGCAAGCGTCCCCACCCATCTTCCCAGAACCGAGATGCCCGCCCCCCCTCTCCCAGGCACAGGATGACGCAGCACAAGCGAAAGGGGTACACAGCCCAAGAGAAATTGAAGTGGTGCGCGCTGCTGGAAGTGGCGGTTTCGGTGCGCGCTATATCTCGTGAGTCTGACATTCATCGGAAGTGTCTGACGCAGTGGAAGAGGGAGGCGGCCATCCTCAAGGATGCTCACGGCGCTCGGATGCGGATGCACGGTCGCGGCAGAGCGTCTTGGTATAGGCCCATGGAGTTGCAGGTCTATGCGAGGCTGCTGGATTGGCGGCGCAAGGGATGCGCGGTCTCAGTCGGTCGGCTGTAGGAGTGGTCGAAGGAATTCATGAAGCTTCTCTTCCCCGACGTCAAATGGAAGGGCAGTCAACGGTGGTCAGACCGGTTTCGGCGGCGCTGGAACTTGAGCGTCCGCATGAAGACGAAGGTAGCACAAAAAACTGCCCAACGTAAGTAGTTCCCTTCTTTTTAAGGACTATTGCATCGTGCTACAGTGGGATGTTTCATGAACGTCGACAGCAGGTTTAATATCACTATCGTCTTCCCCCCTTTTACCAATCTTTCACAGATGTCGCGGAGCAGTGCGAGAAATTCTGGGAGTTCGTCCGTAACAACCGTCGTGAGCGCGGGATCGAGACGAATTGGATTATTAACGACCAGACGCCGCTGTGGCTGGAGATGCCCGCCACCACCACCGTGGAAGAGAAGGGAGTTCGCTCGGTGCCCATCAGGAGCGCTGGTTACCAGAAGCAGCGAGTTACCGTGATGCTGGCGTGCACAGCTGACGGGGTGAAGCTGAAACCATGGGTTTTCTTCAAGCGCAAGACGGTGCCGAAGGGGAATTTCCCGGCGGGTAAGACATCCTTGCATATTCATGTATTCTTGTAATCTGACGTCGGAGTTTAACTACAGTACATCCTATTGTTGCTTGCGCAGATGTGGTGGTGGGGTGCCAAGACAACGGCTGGATGGACGCCGACGGCGTGGCGAAGTGGCTTGACGGGTGTATCAAGCCTTTCATAAGGCCAAGCTTCGGCATGCAGGCGAGGAGCGCGATGCTCGTTTTGGATTCGTACCGCGGGCATCTCACGGACGAGGTTAAGAAGAAGTTCGACGAGCTCAACATCGTCCCGGCAATCATCCCGGCAGGCTGTACGTCGGAGGTACAGCCGCTCGACGTCTCGGTCAACAAAAGTTTCAAAGCCTCCGTCCGCCAGCAGTACCAGAGCTGGTTTGAGGAGGAAGGCTTGGAGAGGCTGACACCAGCAGGTAAGATGTGGCCCAGTTGTAAAACGTCAGTTGGTTGCTCCCCCGCACCCCTTGATATAATCTCCCCCTTGACTGTCATGTGGTGCAAGGAACCTCAAGAAGCCGCCACCAGAGGTGGTCCTCAGGTGGATCTCCAGGGCCTGGAAGGCAGTTCCCGCCGATCTAATCAAGAAGGCGTTCCTAACCTGCAGCATCAGCAACGCTCTAGTTGGGAGCGAGGACAAGCTCGCCATGGCGCACAGGAGGGGCCAGCTCATGCACGAAGTGGACGTGGACGACGACATCACGGCCGACGGCTTCTGGGGCAACAACTGCCCGGAGCCTGAGTCAGACGATGAGGAGTAGACGTGCTAGAGGTTATAAAGCTGTGCAGTACCTTGAATACTGTGATTGTACTTTCAGAACGTGCTAGTCTAATCATTAGAACTTTAGATTGTCTTCGTGCATGTACAAGTTAGTTAAATTGTGCTAAGAAATAACTAAAAAAAAAAAAATCAATACAGAGATGCGCTTATAATAAGTACAGGTTTCACAAGGGGTGCGCTTCTAATCGAGTCGCGGCTATAAGCGCATGCTCCAGATAGAAGCGCCGGCGCTTTTAAACGGACGGCGCTTATATCCGGGGCTATACGGTACTTCTCTCCCGCTTATCAGTCCTCGCCAAGTCTAAGATGTACAACAAGTGATTCTTTAATCAATATCGACCTGCTCTTTAAGCTGACTGTTACCAATATGCTGCAAACTTACAGCTATCACAAGCAACCAAACCCCTTGGAAAACCCACCTATGCATAGCGAGAAGATGTGGATTCACTTCCCCTTTCCTATCTAGGAATCACTGCCTGACACCAACCCCCCCCCTGCCATGACGCTGCTACGATCTCAACATGTTTGCACGATCTGCTAGCTTTGAGTTGTTTTCCTTGGCATAAGGGAAGAATATCCAACAATAAATGCATACTGTACACCACGAATACCAAGCATATATTTCTAGGAAGTCCATATCTCAAATGAATATATTCAACCCCCAAGCACATTTTCTCACGCGAACGGTGGCGCACTAAAACGCAATCCCGTGCTATCTCGGAGTTGTGGTTCTCCTCATGGCTTACACTTTCCTGGTTACTCCTCAACAGCATTCACCTCCCTCCTCCATAGCACTCCCAGGCCATGGATATGCACGTTCATCCATGCACCTGGACTTCACATCATCTCCATGTTAACACACCTACGCATCCTCTGTCGGAATGTGAACAGAATCAACGCCCTCCCTAAAATGGACGACTGAAATGAAATGATCTGGTCATCCTCGTCGACACACGTCTCATTCTCGACGTACCAAAGCTTGCGCTTAAGCTCTGGCCACACGCCCTGGACACGCTGTTTTATTAGGAGATTAGGCTAAGAAGCCATGGCTAGGGTTTGGGGTGTTGAGAGTAGCAAGCGAGATTAGCAAAGGAGAAAAAGGTGTTCACTAAAGAGAATTGAGGGTACAAATAGGCAAGCATGAGGGTGCACCACCAAACAAGAACATAGAACTACATTAGGTCTACACTATAGGCAGTTATAGTTATGTATACAATTACATTCTGACACACCCCCTAACTGCCTGCAGTGAAGAACCATGTGCAGAAACACCCCCGGAAGGGGTACACCAAGCGCAGCGGAAGACGGCAGAGAGGAATGCGAGGAGGAGGAGACGAGAGAGAGAGAGGGGAGAGGAGAGGAATGAGGAGAGGAGGTGGGGGAGCCACGCGGCGAGCCCCTCTTATGAACACCCCGTTTTACGAAGGGGGGGGATGAGAGGGATGAGGAGAGGAGGTGGGGGAGCCACGCGGCGAGCCCCTCTTACGAACCCCCTGTTTACAAGGGGGGGGGGGGTGAGAGAGGGAGGAGAGGAGGTGGGGGGGAGCCTAGCGCGGCGAGCCCCTCTTACTAACCCCCTAATTCCACGCCCCCTTTCAGCCACCCCCCTCAACCTCACCCCCCTTGTCAATCGCCCCCTGGAACCTCACGCCTTTCCCCCCACCCTTCCTCCAACGCCACCCCCTCACCCTCCCCCCCCCTCCCCCCCACCCCAGGAGGGGCGGCAGGAAGAGAGAGGAGGTGGGCTGGCGCATGCTGGTCACCCCCGCCACCCCCTCACCCTCCCCCCCTCCTGCCCCCCACCCCAGGAGAGGCGGTAGGAAGAGAGAGAGGAGGAGGGACGGCCGCTGGTTTGTCACACCCGCCACCCCTTCCCCCCCCCCCTCCCCTTCAGCACCAGCCGATGCAGGGACAGAGAGAAGAGCAGGGAGGCCGAGTCACCCACCCCCGCCTCCCCCACTCTTGGGCACCACCCCACCACCCCACGCACGGCAGAGACCACGCGAGGGACGCCACGGGAGGGCAACGAAACTGGGAGGGGCGACGGGGAGCAGTGGGGCGACGGGGGGGCAGCAGGTCGCGCTGGGGCACGGGGCAGCAGGTCGCGCTGGGGCGCGGGGCAGCAGGTCGCGCTGGGGCGCGGGGCAGCAGGTCGCACTGGGGCACGGGGCAGCAGGTCGCGCACGGGGCAGTAGGTCGCACTGGGGCGCGGGGCAGCAAAGCGACGCGCGCGACGGGCACGCGACGGGCAGGAACCGACGCGCGCCACGGGCCCGCGACGGGCAGAAAACCGACGTGCGCCACGGGCGCACGACGGGCAGAAGTTAACGGTGGGCCCATGAGGGGAGGATGTCCGCAGGAAACGAACAGCTCTTAATACCATGTTAAATTAGGAGATTAGGCTAAGAAGCCATGGCTAGGGTTTGGGGTGTTGAGAGTAGCAAGCGAGATTAGCAAAGGAGAAAAAGGTGTTCACTAAAGAGAATTGAGAGTACAAATAGGCAAGCATGAGGGTGCACCACCAAACAAGAACATAGAACTACACTAGGTCTACACTACAGGCAGTTATAGTAATGTATACAATTACATTCTGACACACGCAACTGCACAGCTCTCACCAAGCAGCACCAGCGGATCGTGCACCCCCTCGAGAGGCATGTCCATTCTCTCGTTGAACAAGGTTATCTTGATGTCCTTGGCACTCCCCTCTGTGAATGGCAGACTCCTCTCAGTCCACCTCAGCTTCCTCCAAGAGCAAATCCACCTCGTTGGAACACCGCGTCTGGTGGAGAACCTCGTTGGAATCCCCCTTTGCCACTTCGTCCATGTCAAGATAGCGTTAGAACCTAGGAAGCTAGGTGAGGGTGTTGAAAGTAGCGAGAGGAATAAGGGGTTCAATAAAGAGAGAAGGTACAAGGATATAGGCAAAGCAAGAAAGGTGCACCACCAAACAAGATCAGCACTACACTAAGTCTACACTACAGGCAGTTACAATATAATGCATACAATTATATTTTGACACACCCCCTAACTGCCTGCAGTGAAGAACCAATTGCAAAAACACCCCCTGAAGAGGTACACCACACGCAGCGGAATAAACAGAGTGTTAAGTGAGGAGGAGGAGGCGGGAGAGAGAGATGAGGAGAGGAGGTGGGGGGAGCCACGCGGCGAACCCCTCTTACGAACCCCCGATTTACCAAGGAGGAGCTGAGAGAGAGAGATGAGGAGAGGAGGTGGGGGGGAGCCACGCGGCGAGCCCCTCTTACGAACCCCCCATTTACAAAGGGGGAGGTGAGAGAGGGAGGAGAGGAGGTTGGGGGAGCCAAGCGCAGCGAGCCCCTCTTACGAACCCCCAAGTCCACACCCTCTTTCAGCCACCCCCCTAAACCTCACCCCCCTTGTTTAGCCGCCACCCTGAACCGCACCCCTTCCGCCACCCCCTCACCCTCCCCCCACAGCGGCACGTGCGGCAGTGAGAGAGAGAGGAGGAGGAGGAGCAGCGGACAGAAAACAGGAGAGAGGAGGAGGAAGGAGGAGGTGGCTGCGGCTGGTGCTGAAGCCACGCTCCCGCCACCCCCTCACCCTCCCCCCCCACAGCGACATGCGCTGCAGGGAGAGAGAAGAGGAGGTGGGCAGCGGCTGGCGCTGCAGAGTTCCTCTCGCCACCCCTTCACCCTCCCCCCCACAGCAGGACGCACGGCCGAGCGGCAAAGGGCAGGAGCGGCGCTGGCGGCTGGTGGTAGCGCTGGTGCCACGCACCCCCTGCCTCCTTTCCTCCCCACAGCAGGTGGCGTTGTGCGCTGGCGTCCGCGCTGGCGCTCGGCGCTGGCATCCGTGCTGGCGCAGTGCGTGGGCGTCCGCGCTGGCGCTCGGCGCTGGCGAGCTCGCCACGGGCAGAGCGCGACGGGCAGACGCAGGTGCAGCGCGAGGGACGCATGCGACGGTGCGACGGGCAGCGCGATGGGGAGGACGCGGACAGCTCGCCCCCGCAATCGTCGCGACCGTCACCACGGGGGTCGCAACGAGCGCCGTGAGAGGACGGGAAATAGGTGGGGCCGCGAAGAGCGGCATACAGGAAGCGATATCCGGTGGGCCCATGATCGAAAAAAAATAGGTCTTAGGATGACCTAGCTCTTAATACCATGTCAAGATAGCGTTAGAACCTAGGAAGCTAGGTGAGGGTGTTGAAAGTAGCGAGAAGAATAAGGGGTTCAATAAAGAGAGAAGGTACAATGATACTGGCAAAGCAAGCAAGGTGCACCACCAAACAAGATCAGCACTACACTAAGTCTACACTACAGGCAGTTACAATATAATGTATACAATTATATTTTGACAGTCCACTATTTTGGTTGGCAAATTCAACTCCGCCACCCTCCCTATACGTAGGAACCGCTCCCTACACGGATAAAGATGTAGTGAAGGGACTCAATTCATGACGATACACGCGCTTGTCGACACTTTCCGGGCATTACATCACACTGCCGTCTTTCCGTTCTTCCGCCTACAACGAACTTCTGCCACTAACCCCACCCCCACCCCCCCCCCCCCCCCCCCCAACCCCCCCCTCCCCCCCCCCCCCCCCCACACCCCTTTCTGCGCCCTCCTCCTTGATAGAATCAACATCTCACGGAA